ACTAGTGATCCTAACTATAGATACATTAAGGGAAATAGTGTTCCTGGGTAGATCCACAGGGGATTCACTAGTGATCCTAACTATAGATACATTAAGGGAAATAGTGTTCCGGGGTGGATCCACAGGGAATTCACTAGTGATCCTAACTATAGATACATTAAGGGAAATAGTGTTCCGGGGTGGGTCCACAGGGAATTCACTAGTGATCCTAACTATAGATACATTAAGGGAATAGTGTTCCGGGATGGATCCACAGGGGATTCACTAGTGATCCTAACTATAGATACATTAAGGGAATAGTGTTCCGGGATGGATCCACAGGGGATTCACTAGTGATCCTAACTATAGATACATTAAGGGAAATTAAAGGATTTTCTACACTGCAAGAACAGCTTTGTTGTTTACTTGACGTCTACATGTTTTCACTGCTATGGGTCCTGATGATGGCTGCATAGCAGTCGATACATGTAGACGGCAAGTAAACAACAAAGCTGTTCTTGTGGTGTTGTGAATACTTTTATTTCCCTTATGGGGACTGAGAGGTTTGGACAAACCTTGCTAGACAAGTTCTCAAAGAGGTTGCATCCGTCTGTATTGACTATACACATGGATTGAGCAAAGTGATGCCTCTGAAACAAAAAAACAACAAAATCAAATCTCTTGAATTGATAATTCGAAGAACATCAATTCCTATGTTCTACCAGGTGAAAGAGACCACATAAGGTGTTACGTTAATTCTGACAGGCACAGTTTTGAAGTAATCAGCATTTACCTTGTAAGACAAATTTTAATTTAGTTATGAAATTGGACATTTTTTATACTTAATAAATATAGGCTTCCTGTCACAGCATTGATGTTTTACTGATAAGGTGAGCTGATAAATTAAATATTGTAAATTACATTGTTTATGTAAACTCAAAAATTGCTTGATATCAAAATTGAAGTTTCTATGAACGTGAAATATTCTTTTTGAAAATCATTGACAATATGATATAACATCAGTACCTCAAGGACAGAGCCCTCCGAGCTGTACAAGGCAGCAAGAACGGATTTCTACAACAGAGTGAGCATATATCATAACTACATTGTACATACCACAATCAAACAAAGTCTGCAGCAAAATCAATAATCTAGTGTTTGCTCGTGTTATCAGGGGTGCACACCTCTCCAGCTCCAAATGTCTGATGCTCTGTGTGAACATACACCATACACTTCACTGCTGCCAGAATAAGTTTGTTTTACATAATACCATACTAGTTCTACTAGTTACCTAGGCATTATTAGAAAAACAAAAATATCTCTAGTTGGGGTTGGGTGATCATTTGAAACACTAATATTCAAAGGTCATTGTTTCTTCAAAAAACAACTTAACAAAAAAACACACATTTGGAGACATGTCCTTAACTGACCTAAGCTGTTGATAGGCCACACCAGGCATTATATTTGATGCATGGGTTGAGATGTACTACCTAAGATGCATCAATCTGTGGTGCAAGTTTGGTTGGTCTAGCACTTATAGTTTCAGAGAAACTAACTTAAACACAAAAACTTAATGTTGATGGAGATGCTGACAAAGTCAATGGACCGTAAAAGGTAGGCCGCATCTAGCATTATATTTGATGCATGGGTTGAGATGTACTACCTAAGATGCATCTTTGGTGCAAATTTGGTTAGTCTAGAACTTAAATTTTCAGTGAAACTAATTTAAATACAAAAACTTGTTGACGCCTGTGCTGTTGCCAGAATAGCAAAACCTTAGTCTTGCTTCTGCTACTTCGTGTCGGCGAGACAAAAAATTGTCTTTCTTACAATGTCCTTTGCCAACACTATTCCTAAGAGTTTTAATTTTCTTCCTCTGTATTGTTGTAATAGATATTGTGCATTGTTGTTTAAATGTTTTAGGTAGGCTGACGAGACGTCTGGTTGATAATGCTTTGAGACTGAAAGTATAGGATTGGTGCTAGAAACAATGTATTGGCTAACACTTGTCTGCCTTACACACAGCGGTGGTGAGAATGTATGTAGTGGCCTTATCACCTCGGCTCTACTGTTCTCACTTCGACTATATTGGATATAGACACATCAAACTCTCACACATCAGATCAACCCCTCACATCTCACAATAATACACCCCGCTACACATTAACTCTCACACATCAGATCAACCCCTCACAATTATCTCACAACAAGAGGCCCAAGAGGGCCTGTATCGCTCACCTGAATATTTAAGCAGTCATAGCAAAATATTCTCATTAAATATTATATTGCACTAAAAATATTTCCCTCGCAAACTTTGTTGGCTCCATCTGTTGAAACTACCAGCAAAATATTATTATAAGATTCTATGCTTTTTGATTCTTCTTCAGAAGTTGCTTGACATATTTTTCCCTGTGATCTTGTAAGTAGGTCAATGTCATTTTCCTTCTCAAATTGGTTAGCTCTATTCCAAAAAGCTACCAGCCAAATCTTATGAATCCATTCCTTTTAGTTCTCAAGAACAAATCCATTAAAATGTTGTTGACCTCTGTGACCTCTAAAGTAGGTTGAGGTCATTTTCATTTGCAAACTTTGGTGAGCTCTATCCCGGGAAGTCACCAGCCAAATATTATAATTTTATGCCTTTTAATTCTTCAGAAGAAGCTGTTTGAACTGTTTGACATATTTGAACGCTGTGACCTTGAAAGTAGGTCAAGGTCATTTTCATTCGCAAACTTTGTTTGGCTCTTTCCCAGGAAGCCACCTGCCAAATATTAAGATTTTATAACTACCAGTTCTTCAGAAGAAGTCGTTTAAAGTGTTTGACATATCTGCCTCATGTGACCTTAAAAGAAGGTCAAGGTCATTTTCATTCTCAAACTTTGTTCGGCTCTTTCCTAGGAAGCTACAAGCCAAATATAGAGATTATATACCTTTCAGTTCTTCAGAAGAAGTCGTTTGAAGTGTCTGACACATTTGACTCCTGTGACCTTGAAAGAAGGTCAAGGTCATTTTCATTCTCAAACTTTGTCGGGCTCTATCCAAGGAAGCCATCAATCAAAAATAAAGATTCTATACCTTTCAGTTCTTCAGAAGAAGTCATTTGAAGCTTTTGACATATATGACCCCTGTGACCTTGAAAGTAGGTCAAACTAGTTTTCATTCTCAAACTTTGTTGGGCTCTATCCCAGGAAGCCACCAGCCAAATATAAAGATTATATACCTTTCAGTTCTTCAGAAGAAGTCGTTTGAAGTGTTTGACACATTTGACCCCTGTGACCTTGAAAGAAGGTCAAGGTAATTTTCATTCTCAAACTTTGTTGGGCTCCATCCAAGGAAGCCATCAGCCAAATATGAAGATTCTATACCTTTTAATTCTTCAGAAGAAGTCGTTTGAAGTTTTTGACATATTTGACCCCTGTGACCTTGAAAGTAGGTCAAACTAATTTTCATTCTCAAACTTTGTTGGTCTCTATCCCAGGAAGCCACCAGCCAAATATAAAGATTCTATACCTTTCAGTTCTTCAGAAGAAGTCGTTTGAAGTGTTTGACACATTTGACCCCTGTGACCTTGAAAGTAGGTCAAGGTCATTTTCATTCTCAAACTTTGTTGGGCTCTATCCCAGGAAGCCATCAGCCAAATATGAAGATTCTATACCTTTTAGTTCTTTAGAAGAAGTCGTTTGAAGTTTTTGACATATTTGACCCCTGTGACCTTGAAAACAGGTCAAGGTCATTTTCGTTCTCAAACGTTGTAGGGCTCCTACCAACGAAGCTTTCAGCCAAATATCATGACTCTAGGCCTGTCCGTTCTTCAGAAGAAGTTGTTTAAAGGAAAAGTTGACGGACGAGGACGGACGGACGGACGACGGACGCCGCGCCACGGCATAAGCTCACTTGGCACTTCGTGCCAGGTGAGCTAATAATACACCCCGCTACACATTAACTCTCACACATCAGATCAACCCCACACATCTCACAATAATACACCCCGCTACACAACTCTCCCCTGAAACATAAAACAAGCCAACAACATCATACACCAATTATCTCCACATCACACACCTTTCCAACACTTAATACTTCCTTTCATGGTTCAAACAACATGTTACTGTTCAAGGAAATAATTTAGAATTGTTGTTGTGAAATTCAAACATACAAAATATTTGGATGACTATATCAAACTCAATTTGTTACAGGTTTGATAACATCTTATACATTATCACTCGTTAAGTATGAATAGATATGATGACTGAGTCAGGTTCTACTCACCGATACTGACTGATATGAATTATTGGTTCCTCTGTGGTCAATATCATGGCACATGCATGATGTAAACAGCGAAAACATTTCTATGTCTCTGAAATGAGAGGGAAGCATACAGGTCTGTGTGCCATACTTGTCAAATCATGTGTACAGAAAAACTTCACAAATCAATATCCAGAACAAAGCATTATTAAACAATAACAGATAGGCCTAACTTACTCATGATTTTGTTTTTGTGTAAGAGCTAAAGATATAGGCTACCTTACACATTTTTGGTTCATGTTTTTGTATAATAATTTGTATCTGGGTTAAGGACACATTATAAGCTACCTTACACATTATACCTGTAATTTGTATCTGGGTTAAGGACATATTATAAACTACCTTACACATTTCTCAATTGAGTTTCACAAAGTTTGTATGAAAAGTGTGCAAGGAATTGTCCAGAAAAGAAAATGAAAGGGGCATAATTACGTTTATAGCTATGTCAAAAACGTAAGTTCAAGTAAACAACTTCACAAGTGTGGGGTATGATTACATCAGAGGAGTTTTAAAAAAGAGGCCCAGAGGGCCTGTATCGCTCACCTGAATATGTTTAAAATAATTTGTATCAAGTATAGATATCACTCCATGGTAGGTGCTGTATTTCAGAAAGATTCAACCAGTACTTGAGATATAGCGAGAACAAACTTCAAACAGAGCCCCACCCCTATGCCCAAAGGATGCTACAGACTAAATAAGGATAAAATCCCTTAATCCCAATGGTCGAAGAATGATTTTAAAGGTTTTACCTCTATTTCTCCTATTGGTCCCTACCTGCCCCCTGGGAGACCACACATTGAGTCCCCTTCGCCCAAGGATGCTCAAGACTAAATTAGGATACAATCCCTTAATCCCTATCGTAAAAGAAGGAGGGGTGTGTGTGTTAGATACACCATTTATACAAAATTGGTTCTCCTTCACCCAAGGACGCTTCAGACCAAATATGGAACAAATCCTTTCATTCCTACAGAATAAGAAGGATTTTAAAGATTTTGCTATGTTTCCCCTTTTAGGCCTCGCCCCTCAGGCCCCTGGGGGGCCAGACCCACCATTTATACAAAATTTGTTCCCCTTTCACCCAAGGATGCTTCTGACCAAATATGGAACAAATCCTTTCATTCATACAGAAGAAGGGTTTTAAAGAATTTGCTATATTTCCCCTATAGGGCCCCTCCCCTCAGCCCCCAGGGGGCCAGACCCACCATTTATACAAAATTTAGTCCCCTTGGTCAAAGGATGCTCCAGACCAAATTAAGTCAAATTCTACTTGTCTGTTCAGGACTAGTAGTGTTTTAAAGGAAAAGTTGACGGACGGACGGACGGACAGTGGACGGACGCTGCGGTATGGCACAAGATCACCATGGTACTTTGGACCAGGTGAGCTAAAAATCCTGGTTGTAACCATAGGACTAGTAGTATGGGCAAGATTCCTTCTACAGACAGACCCCACTTACTTTTATTGCAATGGTTGTAAACAAAGAGTATTTAAAATCCCCTGAAGAATTGGAATGTATAAGGTAGGCAAAAAGATATATACACCAACTTCCATATTTGAAAATTCAGACAATTCTAAATAGAGACATTCAACTCTGTCATAGGTATCACTCACTCTAAATATTGTGTAAGCTTCAAGTTCTTCATACAAACATAACAGAAGTGTGTGACAGCAAACGCATGCATCCAGTTGTGGTAGGGTGGATTTCTGTAGCCTCGCCGCACCATCAGCACAAACCTGTAATACATCTCAAGCAAGTCATTGATAGAAAAGAAAGAACATGTATAGTTAAAGGTAAGAAATTAATGGCATCTAAAACCTCTCAACAGTCATTTTATATTTGTACACCAGAAAATGTGTAAGTTGATGATACTAATATTACTGGACAGTCATACATGCACATACAATTATAAAGGAATACCAGAGAAATCTTTCAAATTTTTGAGTTCGTCATATTTATTTCAATTCAATTAGATATTGAAATCGTGAACCATGAAAGTATGCTTATTTCTAAATCTAACCTGAATAATAAAATAAAATTGGAATTCAAAATTCAATACTTTGCTTTCCTGACATCAATCAATGTAGATAAAATCAAATGTGTGTTCAGAAGTGCCTGATGATGTTGTATGATGTTAACATTTGCTTATTCCGTCTTTGCGTATTGCAGAGGTATCTGCACTTGTGAGCAGGTATTGATTGTTACGTCATTTGTTTGTCAGAGTAACGTCATCAATTTTTGAGAAAACGACGTAATTTTTCCACACAAACCAATGACGTAACAATCAATACCTGCTCACAAGAGAAGATAACTCTGCAATACGCAAAGACGGAATAGGAGCATTGCTACTCTTTTTACAGCTCGGCTTCAAATATTAAATAAACAATTTACTTAAATTACTTAAACTTAATTTAAACTTATATTTCTGCTAAAACATTTAATAATTAACTCTGATTGTTAATATCCATATGTTCCACAAATTTATATTTACAAGGTTTGTTCACTATCAATTATTTTAAACAGTCTCTTTTCTTTGCCAGCAAACAGAAATTTTGGTTAAAAACATTGTTGATTACTTACCTGGCGAGAGTGTCTCTCCTGATTCTGAATTTTGTTATAAATCCTAAATCTTCAAACATAGTTAAACATGCCTGAAAATGAATGAGATACTTTTCATTGATAATTGAACAAAAAGCCCCTAACACTTTGGAAAGCGACTTATCACAGAATATTAATAAATCGAAACTAATAGAAAAATTAACAAACAAGGAAAAGAGTCCCTTTAAAGGAGTGATTCTGTATCAAGGGAGATAATCATGAGGCAGAGTTACTTGAACATAAACTTGGTCACCTACAGACATACCATTTCAGTATCATCCTCTGGAATCATTCTGGGAGGGAATGAGAATTTATCAAAGTCTGCATGCCAGAAAGACGGCGAATTTATCTCCATGTGAGCCAGTGTGTCAACTTCTTCTTGTGCCACCTAATCAAACAAAGTCAGATTGATTAGGAGTTTGTAATAAAGTTGACATACATGTTATACCTAGTTATGTATGTTATGTATAACAATAAACAGAACATATTATACAATCTATTCTTCAAGAAGGAATTAATATATATATATAACAGTTACCATCAAAATACTTTATTTTAGATTGATGAACTACTAAAAACTTTTCATATGATGCTTTCTCTTTACATATTACTGATACAATCTTCAATGGATGAGAAAACATTATCAGCCAATGTCACCAAGTTATTGGCGTCCCTGAATATATCTATAGAAACAATATATTTTACTTAATTGAACAAAGGTATGAAACATATGAAAGCTTAGTTGTACAGGAAATTATATAGAAGAGTTCAACTTTCTGAAGTGTGTTGTTTATGAATTTGAATGCACTAAATGAAGGATATATACAAACTATGTTTCTAATATAAATCCTACATTATTATCTAGACAATGGTCGCTTCAGGTATCTGGAAAAGTTTACACTAGCAAGGGCACTATATACTGCGAAATTTTAAAGAAAAAAAAAGACTAGAAATGTTGAGTATTTCTCAAATCTGACATGTCTGTGTTAGAAATAGCTGCACTGAATTGTGTGTGAATTCATTAAAAATGCACCCTGTGGACTGTTATTTAGTTCTAAAAAGGGAATCAACTCTTTAATACATTAGACAGACAGTATCGAGAATTAAAGACTCCAGAATAATTTGTGTTTCAAACATCTGTAACAAATTCTGTTGAAATTGAAACATATCTGATATCTGGAGAATTACCATTTTCTAACAAGGGCAGTAACTCTAAAGAAATAGATGGTATGAAGCTCATCCAACACATTTCTATTCTGATGATCTGTTCAGAGTTTGAATGCTAAACATTACAATATAAAGTCTGTAAAGTGGTTATAACGTAACCTAAGGGGAATAACTCCCATAAAAATACATGTACCCTCGACCCAATGTGCTGGCCCCCCACTAAGCATTTGCTATTTTAAAAACAGAATACTGGCAAATGTAAAATATTCAATGAAAATTAAGCATTTAGTATTTAGTATATCAATTTTAGTTTTATTATTTTCATAAAAAATATATCTTAAATCTTCGTATTGTTTTGCAAATTAATACTGAGAAGCTAATTAAAGAAGAATATTAACATATATTACTGCAATAATTAATACCTATGTAGCTTAAGATATTCAATTTTCAATCAATAGTAATAAACATTACTGCATAAATTATAAGCTTAGAATATACAATTTACTATAAATAGTCTACAGGACTACCTAGGAAATCTCACTATCAGTATGAAAATTAATCTACAAATGTATAAATGAAGGATTCTAATCTAAAATTACAACACCAAAAGCAGAAATAGAAACTACACGTAAGAAAGCATGTGAATTAAAACTCAAAAATTGAAATCATCAATAACACATAATAAAAATAAAACACCACACAAACCTGCATGTGATAATTCATAAGTTCATTTGCAAGCTTATTTCTGTGCTGCGAGTCTTGTAACTTCTTGTACATAAGACACTGGAAGTAAACAAGGGCCGACCAAAGATAAAACAGAGTCACACAAACTGAAAAGAGTTGAGAATGGTGGCAGAGGAACACCTGTAAAACTACATACAAGAGAGTAAAATTAAAACCACCATCTACAAATCACGAAAAATTGAAAAGATTGTACTTTTGCAAGTTTCAAGTATTAAATCTATATTGAAAATGTATTTGAAACTGATTTTTTTCTCTTTTTATAAGAATATACCAAAATAAATATAATATTCAGAATCTGCAAAAGTACAAACTTTTATGGAATACAGATAATGATAACATATCTGAAAACTACAAAGATAAATTGATTCTACCAAACAAGAAAAGTCAAAAAGTTTGAAAAATATGTGTTGTTTTCAGAATGTAAACTTTGCATAATTCATAAACGCACATTTACTTCCCGGATCAAAAAAGTATGGTTTGGATTTTCATTTTGAAACAGAAAACAACACAAGTTCTCCAGGATATTTGATTAAAATAATAGGATAAGTTTGGATCCTACACTTGAGTGCTACATACACCCCTGTGGACACATAAATGTAACAGACTTGTACACCATAGGGGAAGGGTGTAGTTACATTCACAGGTTAGCGCGGACAGGCCACTAGGGGCCCTGCTGAGACAACAGTACATCAATGTTATAGCATCTGAGGTGGGCACAGGGAAACAAGAAAACGACTTGAAATGAGAAACACTTGAGTGTTGATTGCATTTCGATATAAATGGAAATGAGTGTTAACCATGGAATTATTGCAAATATTGAAATTTATGATTTTATCAAATGTTTGAGAATAAAGATGTTTGACTTGCTTACTTTAATGCATCGCAAAATACAGTTTTCTATGATGATGTAGGTTTTATTTAGATCATTGATAACTCATTATAACACTATAGTGAGGGATCATCATTTCAGCTCACAGGTGGATAGGAGAAGCTGGTGGATGACTGCTGGGATTTCATAGCTCCTGTCATGGCTCTACAAATGTTACATTCAGTTTCATGTCAGTGACCTTTAACTACTTGATTCTGAAACCTTAATACCATTGGGTAAATCTAATGTAATATATTGCGACAGGGTTACTTAATTAACAGCCACAATCATTGGAGCATTGTTCCTCTACCTGCATGGCCAAACCTCTCATTGTTTCCCATCTCATTATCAGTCACTACAGTTGATATAAAAGATGACTTAATTTGCCTTCAATTTGCTACTGGTAACCTAGGGAAGGCCTAGAGCGATATCTGAGAATGTTTTTGTGTAGGTTTAAGCATGAAATTTCACTCTGTGATTGTGAAAGATCCCTCTTACTCATTGTGCCACTTTTTTAACACTACACTGACTTATCTTTTGTCTTAAAGGAGTCAGTAGCTTCATTAGCAAGATCAATGGTAAATAATTCAATTTTATGTCTAGGTCCTTTTTGTAGAGGTGGTTGTCTTCAAATAACAGAGTTGAGCCTTAGCCATTGTATTTTCCACATCTCTGTTCCATATGAATGTGGTTCCTGGCAGAGCTTAGAGCCTTGACTCCTGGCTGCACTCTGGCAGAACTTAGTGTCTTCTCCTCGCTGCCCTGTGTTTTTGTTGGTAAATCACCTAATATGTGTTGTACTGACAGTTACAATTGCTCTCATAAGTTTTCATCTAAACACAGTCTACCTCAGTTGATCAATGGTTTTCCTAACTAGAGTGCTGTGATGTCAATGAGCCCGTGTCCTTAGTTGGACAGTACGGTAAGATCATTGATCTCTTTTTATGGTACCAAATCACAGACAGCTCCCATCGCTCATGATGTTTTCTTTCAAAGGGAGTCTGTCCTGGATGATTTCAACAGTCTTGCTCACTGCAAGTGGTAAAGATGGGAATATGTTCAAATTGTTGAAGTTTTGTACAAAATGTACACTGGTGAAGACAAGGTGCTTTGCCACTCAACAGAGGTCCTTGATTCTAAGGGGGCTGCGATGACGTAGTAGTTAAAGTGCCTGGCCTTCTACAATCACTAGCTCTTCACCAATGGGTGGCAGGTCAATGTTTTTTCTCCAGGTACTCTTCTTTCCTCAACAACCAAAACCTGGTATCTCCTTAAATAATATAGCTGTTAATAGGATGTAAAGCTGAAACAAAACAAACCAAACCAAGAATCTTTGCTTAACTTCAGCTGAACAGTACAAGATCCTTCCTGTCTACTCCTCCAGGAGACATTTAGAGGCCTGAGTGATGAGTCCTTCTTGTAAGACTAGACGTACGCTATACAGCTAGAAAACATATTCAGCAACTGGTATAGACAAATCTTTTCACTCTCAACACATTTTTGATAGTCTTTTGTTTGTCTGTTAATTAGTTGTGTGAGGAGATCGTGTCTGTTAATTGATTGTGTGAGGAGATCCAGTCTATTAATTGGTTGTGTGTGGAGATCCTGTCTGTTAATTGGTTGTGTGTGGAGATCCTGTCTGTTAATTAGTTGTGTGAGGAGATCATGTCTGTTAATTGTTTGTGTGTGGAGATCCTGTCTGTTAATTAGTTGTGTGTGGAGAATCTGTCTGTTAATTGGTTGTGTGTGGAGATCCTGTCTGTTAATTAGTTGTGTGTGGAGAATCTGTCTGTTAATTGGTTGTGTGTGGAGATCCTGTCTGTTAATTAGTTGTGTGATGAGTTCCTGTCTATTAATTAGTTGTGTGTGGAGATCCTGTCTGTTAACTAGTTGTGTGAGGAGATCATGTCTGTTAATTGATTGTGTGGAAATCCTGTCTGTTAATTGGTTGTGTGTGGAGATCCTGTCTGTTAATGGTTGTGTATGGAGATCCTGTCTGTTAACTAGTTGTGTGAGGAGATCATGTTTGTTAATTGATTGTGTGGAAATCCTGTCTGTTAATTGGTTGTGTGTGGAGATCCTGTCTGTTAATTGGTTGTGTATGGAGATCCTGTCTGTTAATTAGTTGTGTGAAGAGATCCTGTTTATATATTAGCTGTGCGTATAAGAGTAAGACATGTCTGTCAACTATTTCTATGAGGAGATCCAATGGTTACATATGCTATATTCTAGTGACCGCTGGGTTACATAATCATTGAAAACTGAAATCATTTGCAGTCTCTGATGATTAGCTAGCATTAAAATGATCCTTTTAGGACATTTAATCAACTCTTATCTCAAACTTAATCAGCACAACATCAAATTCAAAGAGTAATGTACAGATTTATCATGAAGTTCTTTAATGGCTGGTAACATGATATGAACTTGATTATAAAATGAATAGTCTGGCAGACTTCAATGAAGGCATGGCTGATATCCTGACAATCTCCAGCACCAGAAACCATGAAAACTAGCTGAGTTAGATAAAAAAAAAATCTTCTCTCAGCAGCAATTTGAATACTTTTAAGGGAAACTGTCAAGCTTGTGACAATACGGGACCTGAGAAAATGGATATTTCAAGAGTACAAAGGCTAAATGTCTTGACACATTGTCGATACTTTTGGGTGTGGTTCCTGATATAAAGTAAACATTACAAATTACAACAGGAGGCTTGGATCAGATGGCAGATCAACACAAAACGTCTATAAGTGTGATTGGAAAACATCAAAGAATCTTTGAAACCAGCTCGGATAATATTTTGATAGTGACTTTATCAAAACTTTTATATTTCAAACTTAAAGCTGGGGCAACAATAGTCTGTAAGTTATGTGTGGAACAGAGATTACATAGGTAATGTCATCAAAGCAAGACATGTTCTTCATCTTCCCTCTTTATAAGTTTGACAGCATATCGGACAGAACGTGACTCCACCTTGAGATGACAGTACAAGACACACTGTCCAATGGTTCTATAATAGGTTAAACAGGACTGTTTATTGATGGATGGGGACAAAAAATAGTATCAAAGAGGAATAGAGTGTTCAGAATATAGATCAGGATGAAACATAATAAAGAATTTAATATACAGGTACAACAGGTACTGTGGACTAAACACACCAAGAGGAATACACCACTATACAATACTACATATGTATATGAAAACCTCAACATAACAACATACAATAGATCAAACCATCACAGATGTAAAAAAAAAAATGTCCCTCTTTTGAGATAAAATATTTGAACCTTCAATTTAAAAGCAAAATTCCAAAAAGCCATTATTAGAATTGTTAATGTAATCTCAAATGATGACAATTCTACAACTATTTTGATTTTGTTTTGTCCTGTTGAATTATCAAAAATGGTGAGCATGAAATTCTTAAAATTTTGCATCATGAGGTATTTTTAAAACAAAGTGACCAAAACAGCGTTTGAAATATTATTCTCTTTAAAAAGTTGTTGAGGTTTCAATCAAATGAAAAGAGAAGTTTTCAGCAGTGGGAGATTTGTAAGTTACAGATTCCCTGAAAAACTTAAACAAAAACTAGTGCTATACAAAAAGTATTATAAAGGTACACATCCAGAGATTGTAGTGGTGCGACATGCGGGACCACCCGGTGGTGGTCATACCTTCATATGATACATCATCAATTCGTTGGCGAGACTGTTACGGATCTGGGCCGCAATCACACGCTGGTACATGAGGGACTGAAACAGCATCATGTGTTAGTACCAGTCTCTCTCATACACACTTGGGCACAAAGGTCACAGTCAAGGTGCCAACAGCTTGTTGAGGTGTCCGACAAATTCTTAACAATAAACTCAAAAAACCAAACACTTGCTTTCGACACTTTCTGAATTCTTACTTTAAAAGTGTTTCATTAATATATAAACTAGAATTTACCTTAAAATTTCTCATTTTAAAACCATTTTAATTTTCATCTGGTATATATAGGATATAGTGAGCCTTACACATAGCAACCGACTCAATCATTTTAAATTAGGTCAGGTAAACAATACATAACCTAGAGATAGCAACAGAAGTCAATATATGAATATTTTATCAATGAATCAAAAGTCAATTATTTACACAACAGCAATAGAAAGTGATGTTCAAGTGCAATAAGACCTGGGTACACAACTGTGATGAGACAATGCTCCAGCTAATCGTTAACATGGTGAAAAGACACCCCCGTCAGACCGACCATGTAACAGGCTGACACTACATACTAGTCAGACCAATTGGAATATAGGGTGATGACATATTGGTCATATCAATAATGGGACAGGATGACTAGATATATTTGTCAGATTAATCATGTAACAGGGGGATACCAAATGGGTCCAACAAATCAGGACCAATTCAATTTCTCTATCTTAACATCAAAACTCAATTATCTGTAAAATAGCCGAGGAAAATGACGCCATTGTATAAATGATGTTGGTACACAGCTGAGACAACCCATAGGTATGACCGATCATGTGATACTGCGACGAGACACGCTGGTCAGACCTAGCGTGCAAGGAGACACTTGAATTATAGGATAAGAATGACTCGATACCAGTCAGACCAAATATAAAACAGGGTCATGACACACCGGTCAAACCAATCATAGGGCTGCTTTTACTTAGTCACCATCACAGGACTATGGACCATTATAGATATGGTTTTATTTAGTCACCATCACAGAACTATGGACCATTACAAATATGGTTTAAGTCACCATCACAGGACTATGGACCACTATAGATATGGTTTTACTTATTCACCATCACATGACTATTGACCACTATAGATATGGTTTTAATTAGTCACCATCACAGGACTATGGACCACTATAGATATGGTTTTACTTAGTGTGACCATCACAGGACAATGGACCACTATAGATATGGTTTAACTTAGTCACCATCACAGGACTATGGACCACTATAGATATAGTTTTACTTAGTGTGACCATCACAGGACTATGGACCACTATAGATATGGTTTTACTTAGTCACCATCACATGACTATTGACCACTATAGATATGGTTTTAATTAGTCACCATCACAGGACTATGGACCACTATAGATATGGTTTGACTTAGTCACCATCACAGAACTATGGACCATTATATATATGGTTTTAGTCACCACCACAGGACAATGGACCACTATAGATATGGGTTTACTTAGTCACCATCACAGAACTAGGGACCATTATATATATGGTTTTAGTCACCACCACAGGACAATGGACCACTATAGATATGGTTTTAGTCACCATCACAGAACTATGGACCACTATAGATATAGTTTTACTTAGTCACCATCACAGGACTATTGACCGCTATAGATATAGTTTTACTTAGTCACCATCACAGGACCATGGACCACTATAGATATGGTTTTACTTATTCACCATCACATGACTATTGACCACTATAGATATGGTTTTACTTAGTGACCATCACATGACTATTGACCACTATAGATATGGTTTTACTTAGTCACCATCACAGGACTATTGACCACTATAGATATAGTTTTACTTAGTCACCATCACAGGACTATGGACCACTATAGATATGGTTTTAGTCACCATCACAGGACTATGGACCACTATAGACATGTTTTTACTTAGTCACCATCACAGGACAATGGACCACTATAGATATGGTTTTACTTAGTCACCATCACAGGACTATGGACCACTATAGATATGGTTTTACTTAGTCACCATCACAGAACTATGGACCACTATAGATATGGTTTGACTTAGTCACCATCACAGAACTATGGACCACTATAGATATAGTTTTACTTAGTGTGACCATCACAGGACAATGGACCATTATAGATATGGTTTTACTTAGTCACCATCACAGGACAATGGACCACTATAGATATGGTTTTAGTCACCATCACAGGACAATGGACCACTATAGATATGGTTTGACTTAGTCACCATCACAGGACTACGGACCATTATAGATATGGTTTGACTTAGTCATCATCACATGACTATGGATCATTATAGATATTGTTTGACTTAGTCATCATCACATGACTATGGATCATTATAGATATGATTTTACTTAGTCACCATCACAGAACTACGGACCATTATAGATATGGTTTTACTTAGTCACCATCACAGGACTATGGATCATTATAGATATGGTTTTACTTAGTCACCATTACATGACTATGGATCATTATAGATATGGTTTTACTTAGTCACCATCACAGGACTATGGACCACTATAGATATGGTTTTACTTAGTCACCATCACAGGACTATGGACCACTATAGATATGGTTTTACTTAGTCACCATCACAGAACTATGGACCACTATAGATATGGTTTTACTTAGTCACCATCACAGAACTATGGACCACTATAGATATGGTTATAAAGTGAGTGATAAGACTTACATGGCTGATGCTGATGCAGCAGTAGACAGCAAATGCTGATGCAACATCTTCATCAAAAACGGTGAAGAATGGCCCTGTCTTCTTGTTACATAGCTGGGCTACTCCTAACACGTTGCCTGCTTCGTTCTTGATGGGGAAGCACAGTATGTTTCTGAAAAGAATTAATTGAAACAATGAAGCACATCCTCATTCATAAGTGGCAATCACCAATTTTGTTCAGGCCAAATGTATTTTATTACACTTATAATTCAAATTTGGAATTGTCAAAGATAAAGCAATCTTATTTTTGTGAGTCAATCAATATTTGGTCATACAGAGTACGCAAAATTTTAACAATCACAGCAATAATCCAGGATTTCATGCTTCTATTATTTTTACCATAGATCAGACATGTAATACTTGGAGAAAAATCCAATATCATATTGGCAATGATCTTAACATTCTTCTTCTAAATACATTTATTGTTATCTCAATTATAAGAAAACAAATATTCCTTATATTTTCTTTCCTGAAAGTTTGAAATTGGTATAAAATACAGGATGTACCTGGTTCTAAACCCTGTTGAGTCATCAATGCCTCTGTAAAACATGGGATGTGAGTAGGCATCTTTGATATTTAGAAGTTTTCCTGTAAATAAAACATAGATAATGGTATTCATCTGACCTATAAAGTTGCTGAAGTCTTGTTTGATTGGTAAAATATGTTTTTTGACAGACCATCAACACAAAAAGTTAAACAGGACCAAACAGTTGGGCAAATGGATAAATGGTTGGTGGTCCAGTATGAAAATATGTTGGATAACATGCGAAAGACAAAAACATTACAAAATCTCAATTACTGCCATGTGTGTAAAAGATCAAATTTTGTTTCTTCAATATCTTCTAAGAAGAGGACGCTGAAGAAAACATCTAAATCTGCATGCCACCCCACATTATACAATTAATAGCTTCTTATGATCATGAATAGTCAATACAGCAGGCATTTTCTGCAACTCCAAGTATGTAAGTGGACTGACCTGTTGTAGCTACATGTCCTGCTATTCCCTGAATAATTGGCATTCGGATCTCCGACTGAACCTGAAATAAATCATCCCAGTCAGTTTTCAAATATATTTATAGATGAATTGCTGAACTGTGAAAGAAAGATCAGTTATCCTCCAATACATTGACGGTTTAGTGGCTCAGTAGGTAGCTCACTAATTACCATGTCCAACACGTACACTAGGCTGAAGGGGTAAGGTGGGCTATACAGTAGGTAGTCCACTAATTACCATGTCCAACAACGTACAATAGGCTGAAGGGGTAAGGTGGGCTATACAGTAGGTAGCTCACTAATTACCATGTCCAACAACGTACAATAGGCTGAAGGTGTAAGGTGGGCTATACAGTAGGTAGCCCTCTTATTACCATGTCCAACACGTACAATAGGCTGAAGGTGTAAGGTGGGCTATACAGTAGGTAGCCCTCTTATTACTATGTCCAACACGTACAATAGGCTGAAGGTGTAAGGTGGGCTATACAGTAGGTAGCCCTCTTATTACCATGTCCAACACGTACAATAGGCTGAAGGTGTAAGGTGGGCTATACAGTAGGTAGCCCTCTTATTACCATGTCCAACACGTACAATAGGCTGAAGGTGTAAGGTGGGCTATACAGTAGGTAGCCCTCTTATTACCATGTCCAACACGTACAATAGGCTGAAGGTGTAAGGTGGGCTATACAGTAGGTAGCCCTCTTATTACCATGTCCAACACGTACAATAGGCTGAAGGTGTAAGGTGGGCTATACAGTAGGTAGCCCTCTTATTACCATGTCCAACAAGTACAATAGGCTGAAGGTGTAAGGTGGGCTATACAGTAGGTAGCCCTCTTATTACCATGTCCAACAAGTACAATAGGCTGAAGGTGTAAGGTGGGCTATACAGTAGGTAGCCCTCTTATTACCATGTCCAACAAGTACAATAGGCTGAAGGTGTAAGGTGGGCTATACAGTAGGTAGCCCTCTTATTACCATGTCCAACAAGTACAATAGGCTGAAGGTGTAAGGTGGGCTATACAGTAGGTAGCCCTCTTATTACCATGTCAAACAACGTACACTAGCCTGAAGGTGTAAGGTGGGCTATACAGTAGGTATCTCACTTATTACCATGTCCGACAACGTACACTAGGCTGAAGGTGTAAGGTGGGCTATACATTAGGTAGCACACTTATTACCATGTCAAACAACGTACACTAGCCGGAAGGTGTAAGGTGGGCTATACAGTAGGTATCTCACTTATTACCATGTCCAACAACGTACACTAGGCTGAAGGTGTAAGGTGGGCTATACAGTAGGTAGCCCACTAATTACCATGTCCAACAACATACAATAGGCTGAAGGGGTAAGGTGGGCTATACAGTAGGTAGCACACTTATTACCATGTCCAACACGTACAATAGGCTGAAGGTGTAAGGTGGGCTATACAGTAGGTAGCACAATTATTACCATGTCCAACACGTACAATAGGCTGAAGGTGTAAGGTGGGCTATACAGTAGGTAGCCCTCTTATTACCATGTCCAACACGTACAATAGGCTGAAGGTGTAAGGTGGGCTATACAGTAGGTAGCACTCTTATTACCATGTCCAACAACGTACAATAGGCTGAAGGTGTAAGGTGGGCTATACAGTAGGTAGCCCTCTTATTACCATGTCCAACAACGTACAATAGGCTGAAGGTGTAAGGTGGGCTATACAGTAGGTAGCACTCTTATTACCATGTCCAACAACGTACAATAGGCTGAAGGTGTAAGGTGGGCTATACAGTAGGTAGCCCTCTTATTACCATGTCCAACAACGTACAATAGGCTGAAGGTGTAAGGTGGGCTATACAGTAGGTAGCACTCTTATTACCATGTCCAACAACGTACAATAGGCTGAAGGTGTAAGGTGGGCTATACAGTAGGTAGCCCTCTTATTACCATGTCCAACAACGTACAATAGGCTGAAGGTGTAAGGTGGGCTTTACAGTAGGTATCTCAATTATTACCATGTCCAATAACGTACACTAGGCTGAAGGTGTAAGGTGGGCTAAACAGTAGGTAGCACACTTATTAACATGTTCAACAATGTACAATAGGCTGAAGGTGTAAGGTGGGCTATACAGTAGGTCGCCCACTTATTACCATGTCAAACAACGTACAATAGGCTGAAGGTGTAAGGCGGGCTATACAGTAGGTCGCCCACTTATTACCATGTCCAACAACGTACAATAGGCTGAAGGTGTAAGGTGGTCTATACAGTAGGTAGCACACTTATTACCATGTCAAACAACGTACACTAGCCTGAAGGTGTAAGGTGGGCTATACTGTAGGTAGCACAATTATTACCATGTCAAACAACGTACAATAGGCTGAAGGTGGAAGGTGGGCTATACAGTAGGTAGCACACTTATTACCAGGTCCAACAACGTACACTAGGCTGAAGGGGTAAGGTGGGCTATACAGTAGGTAGCTCACTTATTACCATGTCCAACAACGTACACTAGGCTGAAGGGGTAAGGTGGGCTTTGCAGTAGGTAGCTCACTTATTACCATGTCCAACAACGTACACTAGGATGAAGGGGTAAGGTGTGCTATACAGTAGGTAGCACACTTATTACCATGTCAAACAACGTACACTAGGCTGAAGGTGTAAGGTGGGCTTTGCAGTAGGTAGCTCACTTATTACCATGTCAAACAACGTACACTAGGCTGAAGGGGTAAGGTGGGCTATACAGTAGGTAGCTCACTTATTACCATGTCAAACAACATACAATAGGCTGAAGGGGTAAGGTGGGCTATGCAGTAGGTAGCTCACTTATTACCATGTCAAACAACGTACACTAGGCTGAAGGTGTAAGGTGGGCTATACAGACAATATCATTACCTCCTTGTCATTGGTGGTTATTCCATCAAACACTTTGGCAACTAGTTCTTCTGTCTCCTCATCTATCAGGAATACAGAGCACCTACAAAACACAACATATCACTTGTAAGAAAATATCCCATAAACACATCTCTTGTAACCACAAATTACAAATAACAACTCATAACCCGAGACACTAAATCACGCGTCTCAAAATGTTAAATCATCTTAAGATTGAATAAGACCTCTTTCTCTTAATATGCTTAAACTTAATTTAAGGACATTCCAGGGGTTAAGGAACATTTGTGGTACTGCTGGTTTGAAATATTCGAGCTCTGCTGGTCAGCAGGAAGCCTTCACATACATATGTAAACTTGCTAGTGGGATAAGATCAGGCCTATAGATCTAGACTTTAGATCATTTCATGGTGTCTGGACCAGGTCACTTTAATCAAATGTATGTCTGCAATAAGACAAGGTTATTATATGTTGCTCATCACACCTGATTTCAACCTATCGACCAGTCCATACCTTGCCGTTCAGATTGTATTGTAAACGTGTCAACTGAGAGTCACATGATAGAAATTTAAATAACTGACACAATTAACCTTCCTCTTTTCTGCAAAATCTTCACTGCACAAATATTAAATTCTTCATGAAAACACATAGGGGGACACAACCTGTGTAAGTAAATCAGACAGGAATTGTACCAGAAAACTCTTCACACGAATCAGCTTGAGTCCCTATCTAAGCTGAAATTTCATCAACCCGACACTTGGGATTAAAATCAGATACCATGGGATCCTACTGTGGAATTGATGATGTATTGGCGGTGATGAACTTAATGCCGTTAAGTACTGTAAAATATGCCTTCATTGATCCCATGCTCAACTTAATCCTAGTTAAGAAGGAAAATGCCATATCACTCCTGCTGGCTTCTCACCTCTCGGCTTGTGTTAGATTCCTAGCTTCTTGCATAATCTCCCGTAGAAGTTTTGTTAAGTCATCTGCAAGGAAAATTAGGACAAGATCAATGCAGTGTTCAAAAGCTGTCATAAAACTTATCTGTTTATAAACACATAATCAATAGTTCTCTCTCAATTTTATAACTACATTGTAGATGGGAAATACTGAATGTATCTCTTTTGTTTTAAATGATTTTTCATTCGATCAAATGTATAGAAATTTTAAAAGTATAACAAGGTACAACAATATGAACATGAGATATATGTATGTGAAAATGTCTTTTTGTTATAACATTAAACAATCAACATATTGAAGAAACATTTCTGTTTCATAAGTACCATACACACAGTGAAAACATTAAAATCAAGGCATGAGAATAGATGCCTGGAGACCTAGTTATTACTAAAATTCATGCAGAGGAAAGAAATTGAACTGTTTAATATCACATTTAAAAAACAATAACTGAACTCAAATATAACTTGAAGAATACAAAATAACAATAAAATACTTAAAGAAAAAGTAAAAATCCAATGTAACAAACCCTTCTGAATTTATACAATAGACAATTCCTGATACAAAAGACAAGGCATTGACACTACCATCCTCTTTTAGATACCTGTTTTCACTCGGAGATTTTCCAAAAAGAGATAAGATTAAGTTTGTTTGAGGTTGGTTGAGTTAAGTCATTACTAAAAGAGCACTTGTCTTGTATAAGGTTTAGCCTGAAGAAACTCCACACATGTAACTCCAACATGGGTGTAAATGTAACACATCGGCTGAACCAAACACGCTGACCTACTTTTTGTGATGGGCAAAGCCTCGGTGCTGGGGGGCTGTAATTTAATCATATCAATCATACTTTTGTTATTTTGAGCAGTCCTGGAGGGGCCAAGACATGGGCAGGAGGGCCCTTGGGTGGAGTCACCTGACCCCAAGGGCAGATCCTCAGATGAGTTGGATGTCAGAGAGTCAGAGGGGATGATGTAGGTATGGCTGACTCTGGATTCTGTGTCCTCTACAATAATGGTATGGTCACACAGGCCAGACTGTGATGGACTTATTCCAATTTGGTCAAGACTACTGACCAGACCGAGGGTGGAGGTAAGTACCTGTCTCTTCCTGGAGCCTGCTGATACTACTGAATCTGTAGAACTTCCTTGGCAAAAAGCATAGTTCAAATTAGGCTTGCTTTCTAGGAATTCATTCTCTGGCACAAAACGATGAATGGCAGGGTCACTTGTGGAGAACCTGGGATTAGATATTGGTGCGTCAAGAATTTTGCTTAAATCTGTTTCATATCCCTCAACAGCATGCATCTGTGAATTGAGAGGCAGGGAACGGCAAACCTTGACCTTTTCACTGCTACCTGACCAAGCATCATGGAAAGACAGCTGAGGACAATCCAGGGCAATGTCTTCTACGTCAGAACCTGAGCTAAATTCATTTACATCACCATTCAAATCTGAGGCTTCAAACTCAACGCAGGTAAACATCTCTGAGGAGTTTTCACTGGGGACATACTGGCTGGCTGGAGAGGCTGAGTCTGGTGAGCTTGAAACAGGAGAGGTGGAAACAGAATTTGCAGGAACTGGAGCATCTGACTTGGGACCTGAGTTACTGCTGAAATCAAACTCTGAACACTGCTCAGGTTTATACCCTGTCTGTACAGTTAGAGTAGTGTCGAGAGCAGCAGAAGCACTATCTAGCTGTTTGAGGGATGTATCAGTCACATCCACACACTCGGGGAAAACAGCTGTATCATTACCAGCATCCCTGAAAGCCCCGACCACCGTTTGGTAAAGTAATCCCCCTTGGATACATTCTGTGTTTGCTACATCTTTTAAGAGGGAATCTTTGGAGATATTTTCATAATTTTTATCCTCTGTGACATCTCTAGTCAACTCAGCTAGAGTATAAATACTTGAAGTATTGGATGAGGCACCACCGTCTTTGATGTCCTCTTCATCTACTTCAGAACCTGGAATGGCCCCACTGCACAGAAGTCCAGTTCCAAGGTGGTCTGCAGAGTGGTGGGTGGCAGATTGAGTATTCTCAATGCAATTGTCACCATCTTGACTAGTCCAGCATTCCCGGACATAATATTGGAAGTCAGTGCTACAAAGGCTAGTGTCAGACGGGGGATACTGGTCAGGGATCTCTTCTCCAGCCCTGAATCGCGTTCTGGAAACGTTCAACAGGACAAATTCTGAAGGAGACACATCAGACATTCTACAAGGAACAAGTGAATCAATGGCTGGTAACAGTAACTCATCATCAACAGCATCTTCTAGATTAGTCATGTCTTGTCGTCTTCCCTCAGGTAGTTTGTAGGGCGACACACTCTCCTTCTGAGGACTGACTTTGTCATTGGCCTTCCTCACCTGTTTATGTTCTGGGGATTTAATTTTTGGGTGAACTTGGTAACCTTTAACCTTTTCGTGAGACATATGACCTATGTAATCAAAATCAAAACACCCAGTCAATTTTTCAGCCAATATTCCACGTTGTTGAATCTCTTTGTTGATATTTCTAGCTGATATTCTGGCTGAGTTGTTGTGTTGGAGTGAAGTTGCTCCCCCTTGAGGGCAACACCTGGTGGCAAGGTAATCCTGTTCTTGTTTCAAATAGTCGGCGTACGAGTACCCCCTGACATTGACCCCAACCCCATTACTAGGTAGGACAGGAAAGTCGTCCAGACCCCTGCAGTGGATTGAGGATAACTCACCTAGGTGGGTAAATAGGTTCTTTGCTACCTCCAACATGGCCTGTTACAAATACAAATGTCACAGTTTCAATACCCATCATAACAGTTAGAAATATCATTACCCAGTTAAGGTATCATTTCAACCAGTAAATAAATTCTTCACAGAAATTAGATTTGTTACTTAATTTTGGTTTCTTATTGATGAATGGTTATTTGATAAATTACGAGTTTATCAACTTTAATTTTTTCCTGAAGAAAAAAAAGTTCAACTTTGTTATTGAGTTGTCATAGATACATGCATAATATAATGAATCAAACATGAAAAATGACAGTACCTGTGTTTGTTTTTTTAGTTTTCGTTCATTTTGGAATGCTAAAGTATTAGTTAAGATGGCGGCAGTGTATTTAAAACAGGTCTGTATCGTCTGAAGGTCTTCACTGGTAAAACTGTGAACAAAATATATAATGGTTAATGATCCAAAATAAATGTTATATGTAAGCAAATATGTATTTTGACCCCTTTTTATCCCACGATGTCTGTTTGAATAATTCTGTTGACTTAGCCAGGCTATTACAACGACAAAGTATAGAACCACTGTCATAACAACACAGCACCTTATTGTAAAATAATCATGATTTCTTGTAGTTCGATGATTTTTTTAAGTTAGTAAAGCTTGACAATCCAGGTTACATTACCAAGTCAATCACCCAGTACCATCTACCAGACAAGTAAATGATACAGGGTAACCATGAAATAAATAAACCACAGGTTTATTAGCTGGAGATATGTCCTAGTGTGAAATCTCTACATAACCCTAGCAGCATTCACTCTGGGTGTAACAATCCATCTGTCTAAGTGTGTGTTTTAACTTTTAGATGTCTGACCTGTCTGTGCCAAACTTGTTGGCAACACATGCAATTGCGACAAGTCCATCGTAGTTGCGACTGGTGACAGGGACACACATCAAGGACTGAAGACTCCTCCCTAGCAGGACTTCCATCTCCTTCTTCTTGTCCTACAACAAACAAACAAGCTGTTACAACTCTGACTTACTGTCATCAACAAACAAGGTCACTGTGACTTACTGTCAACAACAAACAAGGTGGCTGTGACTTACTGTCAACAACAAACAAGGGCACTGTGACTTACTGTCATCAACAAACAATGTCACTGTGACTAACTGTCAACAACAAACAAGGTCACTGTTGACATATTGTAAATAACAAACAAGGTCACTGTGACTTACTGTCATCAACAAACAAGGCCACTGTGACTTATTGTCAACAACAAACAAGGTCAATGTGACTTACGATCAACAACAAACAAGGTCACTGTGACTTCCTGTCAACAACAAACAAGGTCACTGTTGACTTATTGTAAATAACAAACAAGGTCCCTGTGACTTGCTGTCAACAACAATGTCACTGTGACTTACTGTCAACAATTACAAGGGCACTGTGACTTACTGTCATCAACAAACAAGGTAACTGTGTGTTACTGTAAACAACAAACAAGGTCACTGTGACTTACTATCAACAACAAACAAGTTGACTGTGACTTACTGTCAACAATTACAAGGGCACTGTGACTTACTGTCATCAACAAACAAGGCCACTGTGACTTATTGTCAACAACAAACAAGGTCAATGCGACTTACTATCAACAACAAACAAGGTCACTGTGACATACTGTCAACAAACAAGGTCACTGTGACTTACTGTCATCAACAAACAAGGTCACAGTGACTTACTGTCATCAACAAACAAGGTCACTGTGACTTATTGTCAACAACAAACAAGGTCAATGTGACTTACTATCAACAACAAACAAGGTCACTGTGACTTACTGTCAACAATTACAAGGTCACTGTGACTTACTGTCAACAACAAACAAGGTCAGTGTTGACTTACTGTCAACAACAATCAATGTCACTGTGACTTACTATCAACAAACAAGGTCACTGTGACTTACTGTCAACAACAAACAAGGTCAGTGTTGACTTTCTGTCAACAACAATCAATGTCACTGTGACTTACTATCAACAAACAAGGTCACTGTGACTTACTGTCAACCACAAACAAGGTCACTGTGACTTACTGTCAACAATTACAAGGTCACTGTGACTTACTGTCAACAACAAACAAGGTCAGTGTTAACTTACTGTCAACAACAATCAATGTCACTGTGTGTTACTGTCAACAACAAACAAGGTCACTGTGACGTACTGTCATCAACAAACAAGGTCACTGTGTGTTACTGTCAACAACAAACAAGGTCACTGTGACGTACTGTCATCAACAAACAAGGTCACTGTGTGTTACTGTCAACAACAAACAAGGTCACTGTGACTTATTGTCAACAACAAACAAGGTCAATGTGACTTACTATCAACAACAAACAAGGTCACTGTGACTTACTGTCTACAACAAACAAAGCCACTGTGACTTACTGTCTACAATTACAAGGTCACTGTGACTTACTGTCTACAATTACAAGGTCACTGTGACTTACTGTCAACAACAAACAAGGTCACTGTGACTTACTGTCATCAACAAACAAGGTCACAGTGACTTAGTGTCATCAACAAACAAGGTCACTGTGACTTAGTGTCAACAAACAAGGTCACTGTGACTTACTGTCAACAAACAAGGTCACTGTGACTTACTGTCAACAACAAACAAAGCGACTGTGACTTACTGTCAACAACAAACAATGTCACTGTGACTTACTGTCAACAACAAACAATGTCGCTGTGACTTACTGTCAACAACAAACAATGTCATTGTGTGTTACTGTCAACAACAAACAAGGTCACTGTGACTTACAGTTAACAACATACAAGGTCACTCTGACTTACTGTCAATAACAAACAAGGTCACTGTGACTTATTGTCAACAACAAACAATGTCACTGTGACTTAATGTCAACAATTACAAGGTCACTGTGACTTATTGTCTACAATTACAAGGTCACTGTGACTTACTGTCAACAACTAACAAAGCCACTGTGACTTACTGTCAACAACAAACAAGGTCACTGTGACTTACTGTCAACAACAAACAAAGCCACTGTGACTTACTGTCTACAATTACAAGGTCACTCTGATTTACTGTCAACAACAAACAAAGCGACTGTGACTTACTGTCAACAACAAACAAGGTCACTGTGACTTACTTTCAACAACTAACAAAGCCACTGTGACTTCCTGTCTACAATTACAAGCTCACTGTGACTTACTTTCAACAACAAACAAAACCACTGTGACTTACTTTCAACAACAAACAAAGCGACTGTGACTTACTGTGAACAACAAACAAGGTAACTGTGAATTACTGTCAACAACAAGCAAAGCCACTGTGACTTCCTGTCTACAATTACAACGACACTCTGATTTACTGTCAAAAACAAACAAAGCCACTGTGACTTACTGCCTACAATTACAAGGTAACTCTGATTTACTGTCATCAACAAACAAGGTCACTGTGACTTACTGTCAACAATTACAAGGTCACTCTGATTTACTGTCAACAACAAACAAAGCCACTGTGACTTACTGTCAACAACAAACAAGGTCACTGTGATTTACTGTCAACAACAAACAAGGCCACTGTGACTTACTGTCTACAATTACAAGGTCACTCTGATTTACTGTCAAAACGAACAAATAATCTGTTACAACTCTGTCTTACTGTCAACAACAAACAAGGTTGCTGTACACAATAAAAACTTACAGAAAACAAAGTGGTCTTATACTGTCAAGATTACACATATGTGAGTATGACACCAAAGTACACTGATGGAATTCCTTTTACAGGTCTGGAGTTCCAAACATTTGGGACATAACTTGTATGGCTGAGAAAAAGGATGTCTGTTATTGATTTACCAGACTTCAGGATAAGATACTTAAAACAAGGTTTAACAGACAAAAAGCTTCAGCTGTATCATTTTCAAGGTTTGAAATATAAAGCCAAGGGCACCACTTTGATGATATTGGATAACATAGCCAATGATTGTAAAAATAGAGCAAAATCAATTTCAATCTCAATGAATTTGATCCTCAATTCAATTGTTAAAGGTCATCTCCATGAGTGGGTATAGAGGAAAAGGATGACAGTAAGACCGTAGCTGATTAGTACAACTCAATTATAAGTCACTGCCACCAGCCAAGAGAGACAGACCTTGAGGACAGACCACACATTTTTTCTCATACAAAACATATCTAAATGCCCATGAACTCATATCAGAGACATAGTGTACATCTCCAAAGATACTTGGTAATAAGGCTGACTGTAAAATTATACAAATTGTTTCTATATACGTTAGACCAGACAAATCTTGATCCCCTTATATGATCGGTGTTTTAAGAGCCTTAAATAGTTGTCTTTTACACCCGATTACAGCTCACATCTCCATTAGCAGATAGGAGACTCAAGTAACAGCAGTATCCGGCACTGATAATGCAACAAAAATAGAAGCTGCTCAGACGTACAGACAATTCCAGGACCATTAGCTCCTATCCAATTGTTACAAGGCATGCATGTACAATGCTCCTATATAAGTGAGCATATACGACTCAATACTAGCCAAATATTTCCCTACAATAAATCAACTTGCTCATAATACCCATTTTTTTTTTAAAATATATAAATTCTATGTTATACTGCCAGAAACAGAACTCTTACATATAATATCTATGACAAGCTACTTTCATCTAGATGTAACTCTGATTCTAAAGATATTATATTCATATATCCTTATTACATATTCCACCATAATACATTAACAGCCACTGGTTATTCCAAGAGATTATTTAATAACAAAATGTAAATACAATTAGACGGATATTAGGAATGTCTGATAATGTGGTACGTTAGACAATTGTAGTACATGATAATATAGTGTGACAGACATGTTAATTACTTACCTCAGTTATGTTCTCTAGTCGCAAAGGATCCTTACTTTCCAGAACAGCAGAGAATGGACTAGTTTCACCCTGAAATACATAAAATGATTAACAAGCCTGAATGTTTAAGCCTGAAAACAGGAACAAATCATTCGGCTTATGTCAATAAACTTCCAATGACAACCAGGCTTAAAAAACATATTGATCTAAAACTTCCGTCAGATCAGGAAATGGACTTATTGATTTATTCACTTTTATAAATGTATCGAAAGCAGTTAAATGATCTGGACTGTTCCATCAAAGGATTCAAGGATTAATATATATCAGACCAAATCATTAGGACTCAAATTAAAGTTAATGAAGCAGCCATTCAAAGCAATATATAATGTAAATTGTAAGTGGCTCTAAAAATTCCAACATTGTCTCCTGCAATCCTTTCCCCCCCAAGTACAAGATAAATGATTTAAATTAATGTAAAGGAACTTACGAAAGACAAATGGCTTGAGAGAGATCATAGAATTAGTGTTATTTATCAAGAATTGAACTTCAAAATTTAATCTGAATTAATGTCGGCACCTTTTTATAATGATATATGTAGTAGTCTTAATTGAACATAACACATTAGAGGACATATCTAGCAAACCTGATTTATATCTAGACAAACTGCCTACAAATATCAAATCAGATCCAACTTCATAGAAGCTAATGAGTAAGAACATGCATTAGGATTTCTATATTGTTATCACTTTTTCATCAAAATTATGAAAATGCAGAAGGTATGATGATATATTAATGAAATGAAAATATATTTCGATGGAAAAAGGTGTGTTTTTTTATTCTGGTTTTTCAATGTTCACTTACTAGGTCTATGTATGCATGGCAATTTTGTCTTTTAAGGGATACATTTTGACAAGACAGATTGAAAATCCTTGCCTACTTTTCAAAGAAAGTTGCAAATTTCTCCTGGATATTTTCTTGAAAATATTTCATTGCTGAAGGCAATTATTATTTTGATTTAAAGCAAAAAATTTCTCCTGGACATTTTCCCGAAAAAAAAAATCATTACTCCAAATTCATATTTTGAGTTGAAGTGAAAACTCTTTTTTGAACAATCAGAAAGGTGAATTTATAATTTAAAATAAAGTCTTCGTCACAATATCATTTTCTCTGTCACACTCAAAACTGTAAACTGTAACGCTTTATAGATATAAAGTCTCGTTTTATTTTAACTTGGTCTAAAATACTCTCTTAATTTCTGACAAAGACTGCCTGTAACGTGTTTGTAGTTATATATTTGAAAGAACCTGAAAAAACTCTTACTGCAAACATTTTTTTATTTCTATTGTTATTCAATCACTTCTAAAAAATGTGTTACCGTTATAAAATCAGTCATATATGCATTCATGTTTTGAACAAAGTAAATACAGAAACCAGGAATTAGAAAAATTCCAAACACCATGCACTGCAACGTCCACAAAGAAATGTAGGAACAAATTGTGCTAACATATAAGTAAAAGTGAGAGAGAAAAAAATCAAACAGGTTATATCAATTAATATGGGCAATGATTATTAGCAAAGTTTATAATGACGAGATAAATAATTGATAAGAAATATGTCAAGACGTCCCAGCCCTGAGATAGGTAACAAGTTTGATAGTAAATAACTGTTAGACAAATATCTCAAACAGGGCAATGATAATCCAAACTGAGACTTCATAAATCTTATTTTTCAAAGATAGAGACTCACTTAATTAGAAATTCTACGTAAAAGACAAATATTCTTATAATTTGACTAAAATTGTCACAAGGATTGCAAGTTAGGTGAATTCCAAGATGATTTTGATAATTTTTACCGAATTGTTTTTTAACAAACTTGAAATTGAGAACCTAAGGCTGTCAAACTCCTACCATTGAAGTCACCAATGTATAGGGTCAGCTTCAGCTGATCACTGGGTATAGGCATGAGATACAAAAGGCTACAAATATTTCTGAAAGATCAGTCAAGTTGATAGCAAGTCAACTAATCTTCAGTCAAAAACTATGTTACCAGGCCACCGGTACCCGGTAAATGGCAGAGTGCGTACTATCAGAATAAAGACAACCAAACAACCTTTGTAAGTTAGTAGCAGTAATTGTGATTTCACTATCTTATCCAATCATTTAGTATTAAAAACACTACCTAGATATTATAAAAAATAATAATCAAGAAACAACATCAAAAATTGAAAAAAGGATACCAGTACATGTATGAGTGTGGTATATGAAAACATTGATGAAAATGTTAAAAACTCTGTGAAACTGTAAAAGTATTTCTTTAAACAAGTGCAAATAAATAGCAAAAAACGTCTTTAAAAAACTTACAGTGTAGAAGGAATACAAAAAAAAAACTCATTCAAAGTGAAAATATCTTCGGTTCAGACTGAAAATATTCCTTAACTCTAGCTTATATTCTCAAAAAGAGTGGTAATGTTGTTTGCATGCATATTTTTCCAGGGCGGAAATATTGAGATAAATTTCTAGTAAAAAAAACACAAGTGTCAAGTTAGAATGGGACACCCTGCAAGGACAAACAGTTATTGTTACTTTGCACAAACTTACCACTTTGTCAGAAAATAGTAACTGCATTGAACACGATTGTAGTAAATCAGTTGTCAGTCACACTTCCTGTGATTCTAACGTTAATTGGTAAATACATGGCAAGGAATTTAAACCTCATTTAGTCAATTGTTCAAAGTTCAACATTTATTTGGAAAAGTAATTTACATTTTAAAAGGTCTTATTCAACGCAAAACATAGCTTAATTATAATGCTTTTTACCTTATTAAGTAGTATTTCAAAATAATAAATGATAGCTAACATACACAATTGTGGTGTCAATCTTCAGATAAAGAAAAATCAATCACTGTTTTCCCTGAAATCTACTTCCTGAAAAAATGATTATGTAAAACGATGACCTAGCTAATGATGTTTATAACATTTCAATTCAATTAGAGGTCATTGCTAAACAAGAGCTGTCACCAATCTGCAGCAAATTCTTTTCTAAGTAGGTCTAAATCTTCTGTTTTATTGTATCCAGATTTGCAAATGTAATCCAATGAGACATCCTTGAAGATTTGTGATGCGGAGGAATTAGGCCCTACAATCTCCTGCGACACCGAATGGCCAGACATGAGTAACGTTTCGTGTATTATCACAACTCTACCTCAATAAAACCTATCGATTGAGTGGCGTGTCTTTGCTAGCAAACTCAAGATATTCTCTGGACAAGCAAATACATTCCCCTTATTTGTCGCATCTGATGATGCGATAATCCTCGCTGCTGATGCTGACATCTTTTGCCCCAGTTGTAATTCTTCTGATCGCCAGCCTGACAATAATTCACACCTACCTCCTTGTTGTTCTATTGATTATATAGTGGCTTGCTTTAATCTAAGGCTATCCAAAGGGACCATGTGTGGAGCAGCCAACACAGTATGCCAGCATCCACATGGAGTCAGAACTGACACAATCAGTATGGTCTCCAGACATTAACAAACATAATGTCTACTTTACAGCACTATCCAGTCTGTCCCCGTCCTAACAGGGTTGTGTCCGACCATCAAGTGAAATGGCCTAGGCCTTAAATAGCTAACTTGCCAAATTGATTTACTTACAGGAAACCGAATTTCTTGATCCAAAACCTTGTCCCCTATCACCTAGATATGGAAAAAAGAAATAAATGAAGTTTTGTTGCAATAACAATATCATCCAACAATTTAAAATCTTAATGTCTTTGAGGCTTCGTCAGATTGAAGACCATCCTACTATATTACTGCATTTTTTAACAGAATCTGAACTTAACTAATTTTATTTTTAATCCATTTCTTTGCAATCAAAATATTATAGAATACATATTCTGAAATATCTGCCTGATGAAAATCCGACATTGCTTTTGTATTTTTGTTTGTCTCAAACATCACTAAAACTTAATGTCAAGGCGAACTAATGCCAAATAATAGTATGTAAATGTCACAAAATCAAAACGTTTCCCCAGACAAATGTAGCACTCGGATAAACCACATTTCAATCAAAACCATTTTAGCCTGAAGTGATATTCTGTCTTCACAGCAGTACAGAATCACATTACAATAGGTTTTGCCGGTATATGTGGATCCGTAGATTGCTTTCTTTGCATGTAGTGTGACAATGGGCTTACATCTGTCTAGACACATCTATCATTGGTCTTGTGGACACCACAAACACGCTCACCCGTTAATGATTGGCTGTTCTAAGCATGAATATACAAGTATCAATTTTGAATTAATATAATAGCACAACTCAACAACGCATCAATTAAGAGAATGTGCTAGGTCATTGTTAACACAAGGAAATACTTATATGCATGAATGGAAAACACCTAATCATAAAAAAGACAAGAGGCAAGATTGGCCTGTGTTGTTTTGCTTGTCATTCAATGCTGGTTGCAAACATATCTCACATCAGTGACTTTCAAAGTGGGTCAAAGCCTTTATTGAACAAATGTCACAGATAACACAAGCTAACATATCAGACTACATATTGTTTCTCTAAACTCTATAGTTATACTTAGGGATTAACTTGAATATATTTTTCATGTTATGGAGATATAACACACAAAAACGGAGTGTACTCTGTACTACAAATTTGACTCCTGTGACCTTGAAAACATCCTCGATATCCAGGGGTTATGCTCACTTTTGTTCTCTGCACCCCTGGAATTTTGTCTTAGCAAAATTGAAGGCTCAGTGTGCAGTACCTTGTGGATGAGACGAGAAGACTAGTTTGATCTTTTGATGTACATCATAAGAATCTTGCGGTCACGTAACGGTAAAACTTACTTGCTTTGAAGTCAGGTGTCGCTCTTTTGTAATCTTTAAAGGACAAGTATAAGCCTAGCAACTGGTCGGGTGTTTTTTTACCATACACCAATGAAATAGCTAGCCATGTGCCTTCAATTTTGCTATGACATATTGCAGGGGTGCAGAGAGCGAAAGTGAGCGTAACCCCTGGAGTATCGAGGATGCCTTGAAAGTGGATCATGGGTATTCATTTGAACAACCTTGATAACCCTTCAATCCAGCAAGTTATTCGCCAAGTATCACAACCCTGGGCCTCTTGATTATTCAGAAGAACGTATGATGCTGCACAAAGTAAGTTTGCTTTCCCTCTGGGCAGTCGAGCTAACAACTCCTCATGCTTTCGCTCTGGGCAGTCGAGCTAACAACTCCTCACGCTTTCCCTCTGGGCAGTCGAGCTAACAACTTCTCATGCTTTCCCTCTGGCCAGTCGAGCTAACAACTCCTAATGCTTTCCCTCTGGGCACTCGAGCTAACAACTCCTCATGCTTTCCCTCAGGGTAGTCGAGCTAACAACTTCTCATGCTTTCCCTCTGGGCAGTCGAGCTAACAACTCCTCACGCTTTCCCTCTGGGCAGTCGAGCTAACAACTCCTCATGCTTTCCCTCTGGGCAGTCGAGCTAACTACTCCTCATGCTTTCCCTCTGGGCAGTTGAGCTAACAACTCCTCATGCAAGATTACTCAGATTACAACAACCTTCAAGACACAAGGTCTTTTTGCATGGTTCACAAGAATCCTCCTGTCTCCTTTATTAATGACATTCTGAAAGTCTAAGCTGCATGGGGCATAGTGTTGTTCCGATTAATCAATTTAGTCGATGTCTGGTTGTTTGTTTCAGAAAATCGTTTAATCGATCCTTGTTTCCCATGATTGATTATAGTTTGACTAATTTAAGTATTAACAAAAAATCCGGAGATTAAACTCTATGATCATCCGGGGGCTACTGATTTAAACGTTTGGAAGGTATTGTTTGTCCTTAGCTGGATATAAATAAAACGCTTTGTCCAAAGTGTGGGCTATCTTACAAATAAAATGTTAAGTTTGACGGGGTGTCTTCAGGTGAATACCAATCCATCGTGGCATTTCTGAATATGAGATGCAGCTGTCACAGCAAAATTGACATTGCAAACATCATCAATTTCATTTCCAAATACATATTTTTCAATAATTATAAGATTCTGTCAACAAACTTATTGTATGTTGTATGAATGTTGTGTGTTATTAGTGAAATTCTCTAACGTTGGGGTTTCCCCGTTAACAAAAGTGAAAGTAGATTTTGGAAATGAATATAACCTTAAATTACTGAATTTAAGTTCAATTTTATCAATCATTAGTCGATCATCAGTCACTTGATTGGAAGTGATGATCGAGTATGAATTTACAAGCGATTCCCAACACTAATGGGGCAGATGATACTCATTAATTCCCCATATGGGTTGATCCTACCTTTAATCAAAACATACAAAATACTTTGCTTTTATACAAATTTAGCATGATAGCACATTTTTTTTTTTTAGTTTTCATGAGGACAGTAAATGTCTCACCTGACAGTATAGTTCTTGTGTTTCTGGAACTACTAACAACATAAAACCAAACTCTGCATTGGTGTGTTCTTCTAACTGAAAAGAAAAATTGAAAACAATATCAAACATTAAAAAGGATCTCACTGAATTTCTCCAATACTTCACTACCTGAAAATTGAATAGAACGGTAATGTGGTGCAGTAGATAGTGAATATAAATGCCTTTCACCAAGACAGCTGGTTGCTTGATCATGAAAGGACATGTATCACCTGCTCAACCATGCTGGTTTTCTCTGCGTAATACGTCCACGGTTTCAATCCCACATTAAGACCCTGTGCACACTTCCATCTGGACCATCAAACATTCAATTTTTTTTCTCAGAATTGATGTTGTCCCAAAGAAATAAAACACCAATACTCAATAAAGCTCCATGATATGTACACCTTCAGGAATTTCATAACAAAATCAAAATCCATTCACTCATATGGAAGTAGTAATCTTAAAACAAAATAAACCCTGTTTGTACTGGAACAGGACTAGTGAGCAATCTAGTAGCTGAATTGGTAGCGCATCCGTCTAGAGTTTGGAGGGTCACAGGTTCAAATCTCAGGCTGGTAATGAATTTCTCTTTCTCCTATTTATTACACTAAGGTGATCGGATCACCAAATTTAATTCATTCATTGAAAATTCTTAGGATGAATTATATTCATTTATGGTCGTATTAAAGGAAAAATATTGATGGGTGTTCTTACCAAAAGAATAGCACCCAGGGCTCACATGAAATATTTTTAGAACGCTCTGACGTCACCTATCAGTGGTTCCGGTTTTTGCGAATGTCAGAACCCAAATTGGATCAGGGCTTGAATTCTGTAGTATTTTACACTTCAAATGAATATATTTTTTGTCAGCGTAATAACATTTTATGATGGCCTTTGGAATTAATATGAAAACAAGTATTTCAATAGGGAGAATTTATTCCTATAGTCCAAAACAGAATGCATAGTCGTCGCACGTGCCATTTTCTAAAAATGTCAACAAAACATCGACGTTTGAGTTACGTTTTCTAGTGCTATTAGAACTTAAAAACTCATTATCTGTTAACTGTAGACAAAAATTGGTACATAGCTATCTATTCTAAAGTTACATCATTGTTATAACTGATTTGTTGACATATTTATTGATTTAAAACTATTTTTGCAAAAAGTGATCCGATTTGGGTTCTGCCTCCTAATACACTATTTCCTCCTTTTTTTACCTTGCTCCTTTGGGAGCTGCAACCTTCAGTTTAACATTTAATTTCCGGGAAAAGCTCCCTTAGCTCACTTGGCCCTTTGAATTAGGTGAACTTAACACCATTTCTAACTTAGTTTTGGCCAATAATAAGCAGCTGATGATAGGTTTTCATGATAAGGAGAGTATGATTCCCTTTTTCTCTACTGTTTAGTCAGACACAACCCTAAGGAAGGCCTGCCTAGTCAGACCCACAGCCAGAGCAGCTTGTGAATATTTCATTATACCTTAGCAGTAAACTAAGGCAATGTCACCATGTGACTGATGAATTGTCATAAGTTTGCTGTGAGGAAATCCAAGGTGTAACAAATTCTGTTTATGACTTCAACTTTGACAACATCACCAAATAAATATGTTTCCGCAGCCTTCCTAACATAAATTTGTTATTGTAAAATCAATATCAAAAACAAATTTCAATTCAAATCTCAGAGTTGTTAGACACTTCCTAAATTGCTCTCCCACACTCGCCAATGTCCTAACAAAATGGGACTGTTTCGATTTTTGCCACAAATATTTGGTCTTAGGCTTCCTTCAGTAAATTGATTTCAAATCTAATTCAGATGGGGAGAGAAAATTGGATGAGAAAAAGGCAATCATTTCAATGTTATTGTAAAATGGTGAACCTGAATATCTCAATCTCATCATCAACAGAGTAATTTGTTAAACTGTCCAAATCATAGCTACACATTTTGACTATAAACAAGAGACCCAATGCAATGCTCTGTGTCTCATCTCAAACCTTTGACCTTTAAAGTGAATAGAAGTAAAATTGATTTAGGAATGGTAAACTTATATCATTACTCTACATTTTATGGGTCTTTGGCTAAAGATTTGAACTTTTTTACTCTTGTGACTGTCTATGAAGGTTGTCTAAGAACTCTTGATTAATTCACAGGTTATTTAAAGATTTTTAGCACATTTAAATCACTTTGCATTCCTACATGAAGCTTTGTTAAGCACACCTAAATTCACATTCAACATATAATATTTGAGCAAAGGTGTAAGAATTTCTCAAATAAACAATACTTAAATCTTGCTTTTCGTCCTTTTTTCTCGTTTTTTTCTTATAATAATTACCAAACTTGTACATTATCAGATGCTTGTTTATATCAAAAACAAAAAAAAGTGTATACTTTACATACAAACTTGTTTTCTTATAATTATTGAAATAGTTGATTTGCAAACCTTGAGTTTCCATTAATTGTTATCCAATAGCTCAAGAAATTTGCTAGAGATATATCCAATGTCCAATTAAATATCTTGCAAAGCATTTATCGTTATTCAAATCCGTCATTTCCCTGATCAATTGTATTTGTAAGGCTTCGTGTATTTGATAAGGAATGTTATCTGCGGATGATTAGTCCGAGTTACAAACATGGCCAACTTCTGTTGTGTTAGAAACATGGAGAGCTTGGAACGACAAGGTGATACGACCACTAAATAAACAGAAAAGTGGTATCAACCGCATGTTAATGCCAGCAATTAAGTATTGAAGATACCTACTCAGACAAACAGTCTTTAATTTCCATTCCAGTTCCCCAGTAAAAGATTTACAGTGATTCCATGATGGGTTTTCACCATTAAACTTCTCATTATGCTTTAATTGGAAAAATAGTACACTCTATAGCCTCTGCATCGATGGAATCAAAGCGTTTGTGACGCACTAAGTAACCTCAAATAAGTAAGTAACACATACTAAATAACCTCTAAACCAATGGAGTCAGCCTACCACACACTCAATAGCCTCTACACCTACAAAATAAAACCACTACACAATCAGTAACCTCTAAACCAATGAAATCAAACTATCACACACCCAATAGCCTCTAACCCAATGATATAAAACTAACACACTTAATAGCCTCTAAACCTATTTCTATTTTTAAACTACACAATCAGTAACCTCTAAACCAATGGAATCAAACTATAACATACACAATAGCCTCTAAATAAATGGAATCAAACTATCACACACTCAATAGCCTCTAAAACAATGGAATCAAACTATCACACAATCAATAGCCTCTAAACAAATGAAATCAAACTATCACACATTCAATAGCCTTTAAAACAATAGAATCAAACTATAACACACTCAATAGCCTCCAAAACAATTGAATCAAATTATCAAACATTCAACAACCTCTTAACAATGGAATCAAACTATAACACACTAAATAGACTCAAAAACAATTAAATCAAACTACCACACATTCAACAGCCTCTAAAACAATTAAATCAAACTATCACAAAATCAATAGCCTTTAAACAAATGAAATCAAACTATCACACACTCAATAGCCTCTAAACCAATGGAATCAAACTATCACACATTCAACAGCCTCTAAAACAATGGAATCAAACTATCAGACAATCAATAGCCTCTAAACAAATGAAATCAAACTATTACACACTCAATAGCCTCTAAACAAATGGAATCAAACTATCACACATTAAATAGCCTCTAAAACAATAGAATCAAACTACAACACACTTAATAGCCTCTAAACCAATGGAATAAAACCATCACACACCCAATAACCTCTATACCAATGGAATCAAACTACCACACACTCAATAGCCTCGAAACCTACAAAATAAAACCACTACACAATCAGTAGCCACGAAACAAATGAAATCAAACTATCACACATTCAATAGCCTCTAAACCAATGGAATCAAACTATCACACATTCAATAGCCTCTAAAACAATAGAATCAAACTATAACACACTTGATAGCCTCCAAAACAATGGAATCAAACTATCACACATTCAATAGCCTCTATAACAATGGAATCAAACTATCACACAATCAATAGCCTCTACACAAATGAAATCAAACTATCACACACGCAATAGCCTCTAAACCAATGGAATCAAACTATCACACATTCAATAGCCTCTAAAACAATAGAATCAAACTACAACACACTTTATAGCCTCTAAACCAATGGAATCAAACCATCACACACCCAATAACCTCTATACCAATGGAATCAAACTACCACACTCAATAGCCTCGAAACCTACAAAATAAAACCACTACACAATCAGTAACCTCTAAACCAATGAAATCAAACTATCACACACTCAATAACCTCTAAAACAATGAAATCAAACCATCACACACTCAATTGGCTCTATTAAACCAATGGAATCAAACCATCACACATTCAACATCCTCTAAACCAATGGAATCAAAACTACCACACACTCAATAGCCTCTAAACCAATGGTATCAAACCACCACACATTAACCTTCAAACCAATGGAATTAAACTTTCAAATACTCAATAGCCTCTAAACCAATGGAATTAAACTTTCACATACTCAATAGCCTCTAAACAAATGAAATTAAACCACCACAAAATCAACAGCCCCTAAACAAACAGAATCAAACCATCACATATTCAACAACCTCTAAACATCAAAATCAAAACTATCCTACATTTTGAAACCTCTATAACCCAATGGAATCAAAGTATCATAGCTTAATAACGTTAAAACCAATGAAATCAATAGAATTAACTAATGCAATTAAATCCATAGATTCGATAATCTCTAAAGCAAAGAAATCAAAATGTTTCACACACTCAATACCCTCTAAACCTCATTAAATCAAAAGTAAATTTACACACTCTGAATAGCATCTCCATGAATAGGATCAAAGAATCAGAAACCCAATAACCTCAAAATTTATAGAATCAAAGCATTCTTTGAAAGGATTTGGTTGACTTCTTTTAATTAACTGAATCAAAATATTAAAGGTCAGCTCTTCTACTTATTCATGTAGGTGTATAGCATGAAAACTTAAAAAATTGATTTTATCACATAATGTACTGTGTTATCCAATGAATATACCCAGGTAAAAAAAATTGTGTATTAACCAAAGTAATATGACCTATCAGCCCTGTGATTGGTTGTAAGTTTCAATTGTTTCAATTGTGACGTCACGCCTGGGACAATTACATGACGTCACAGACTTACGCACTGTAGTCAAAAATAGCAGCTTTTTACATTTCAAGGTTGCATGCAAATTGTCGTTTTACACGAATAAATGCCACAAATCTTGATTATGTGATAAAAAGGATCTTACTCTTGTTTTCATTTCATATGAAATTTATGAAACTCGTAAAGAAATTATCATTTTAGCTCACCTATTGAGAACTTCTTAGACTCATTTCATAAATATCATATGAAATGAAAACTCATGTAAGATCCTATATATCTGACACTGTTTATCATAAATATCCTGCAGTATTCTAGCCCAGCGAGCCAACACATCAACTCTGACTCAAAGTAAGGGCTGGGCTTGTTACAGGACAAATAATTTATTGTGATCATGAATATGTAAATATTTGATCATCTTACACTTCAGTTCAATGTAATGAATACTTACATATCTGACAATCTTGCGCTGTAGGTCAGCGGTATTCTGATCATACAACTCTCCTGTGAAACAGAAATAACAAACATACATAAATACAAGCTATTTTGCATTTGTTTTGGTATGGACAGGACATGATACTATATGCTCCTTTAAAATGATTGCATATTAATAAGAAACATTGGGAAAAAAGTCAGTAGAACAGACATATGCTTCTCGAATAAGCTCCTGGTATTGGAGCATGTGCCTAATTACAGTTCCAGAAAATAAACATAACACAGAAATTATAAGTATATATATATGTGTAGCTGCTGTAACCCTGATTTGTCTCTTTAGCAATTACCCCAAACTCAACAGATATCCATTTATGTTTGCTTTAGATATTATATGGAGTTCAAGCTATCCCCTCTGCGAATCCACATTTTCACTAAATGTCAGTCTACTTGTAGCTACTGTGACCTGAACCTTTGATCTGGTATCCAGAAACTTAAGAAATTTTCTTCTTTTCCTGAAGGGTATCAGCCATCCAAGGTTTTATGAATGTTATGAATCAATTTTCCCGTGTTTGGGTTGTATGGAAAGGCGGGACATCAAAACCAACAAACACCAATATTTAACAGGGAACCACTTAAAATACATAATATGTACCAGATATGCATCCAAATTTAAGACTTAGGGACACATAAAGAACAAATATGAAGACATTTAAATTTCATTTCTTTAATAGTCTTAATGATTTTGATTGCTACCTTTTATTCTGAATTAAAATCAAAAGGTTTTCAACTAACACCAAGTATAGTCTTCATGCTACAGTAATATAATTGGAAACGTTTTTCATGTTCTTTCTTTTATCCAATCTTTCACTCTTTGAATCCAATCTACCTTTCAGCCGAAACAATCTATCTGAGTATACCTATTTGGCTATATACATGTATAAAGAGCTGCCATTCAATCTCAAGGCCATTTTCTACAGACTAAACTGCTTGGACTCCACCATGATCCATTAGTCATAACGATAGTTCTGAGCCTCTGACATAAGGAAATGGCTGCCAGAATCAATCAACTGGAAACCCTTATTAGAGCTTGATATCAATTCATCAGCTCCCCAAAGCTTATAAACCATCCAGTCGACACTGTAACAAGCAAACTTAATTATTGTAGAATTATTTTTGGTGTTTTGTTTCTTGATAAATCAATACATTTCCTGCAACTGCCATCTAAAGAAGAATGAAAAATCACAGGAGATGATTAATAAAGACAGTAAGTAGAACACACACATTAAGACAAATAAGTTTACTAGGAATTCACCCAAAACTAAATAACTGGAGTAAACAAAATTATCACTGAGCTCAACAGTTATTTTTGTGTGCACATTAACTGGCAATTTACTGTGTGCTATGAAAATAACAAGTTCCCCAGATGTAACTTTCCTAGTTGTATATTATTCTTTGCTGCTATCAAGGATACAAGTTCCTGGTTGTAAATTCATGCTATGATGGTTATTTATAAACTGCTTTTTTGTCAATGCACTGGAGCTGTTAAAGTTAAACTTGCCTTGTTGCAAAGTCACTGGTGCTAACAAATAACTTTGTTGTCATCAATCAATCAGACAAGTTATTAATTACCATTTTTTTTTGTTGTTGTATTAAACTATCTTCTTTGTAATACCATATCACTTTGACATTTAAATACGGTAATTTCCCAGTTTTGACACCTGAAATGGTCAGAAAAACATGTTTTCTCTTTATGTCATATTCCGGTTAATAATATCACATTTTTCATCTTACAAATCAGAAGTGATAATAAGCGAAATCTACTGTAATTTGAAATGTACTGGCCTTTTTTTAGGTCAGAATCCCATCTTTAAAAACATAGTCATGTGATTTCATATTCAAGCTTAATTCAAAACAATTACAATTACAGGTTAGCTATATGGTTGCTACAACATGTAAGAGGGAACCAATTGCTTAAGTTAAATTCACTTCTATCATCTATAATTTGATTTTTTTTATTGTGAGTTATTAGGTTATTTAAACTAGTATAGAGTACATTTAATGGGACAAATCTGCTTGACTACCCAAACAGAAACTAAACCCCACTGGAAACCCCAGTGGAAACATGTCAATTTGGTATACAGAAGCATCACAGCTCTTATCTTTAATTGTTGATTCATCAGAGTTAATTGATCTATCATGTTGTCGACTCAAGCTTGTCCTACAGCTTACGGTAACGTAATCTGTATGGTAGCATATACCTCCTTACATATTGGATGTGCTGCATATATCTGTTACCGATTAATTTCAAACAAAACATATTATTCTATCTTGTTACTCGCACGTACACTTGATATTACTAATGTAAACAGTCAAATGCAATGCTAAATTATACTTGCAAATTAGGTAATGAATTCAGGTGATGAAATATTTTGTTATAAACTTAAAGGCCCTATCTAAACATTGAAACAATGAAATGTGTATCCATTACAGGGGTGTCTTACCCAAGGATAAATATCTCAATCAATATTATTTTCCATGTTGTGACATCTTGTCAACATTAAATTACATAGACGTGTTCCGTTTAAGGTTACACTGTCCATATACTGTAGGTTTGAGGTTACGACATCCGAATTAAAAATCTCATTAATTGGTTTGCCAGAGAAAATGCGACAAACGAACCGTCACTGGAAATAGGGAGACAATTAGAGGGAGAGTGATATTACCATGAGACAACGTAATAATGCTGCCAATAGGAAAATAGGAACATGCTCGGACGGTTAGTCATGTATTCTATGCTATGGCATTTAAAGACAATAATTCAGTTACTCGCTCACAATAAAGCTTGTGAGTCTAGTTTATTTTTAACCAGAATATTAGAATAAACAACTTTATCTTAATTATTGCATCTGAGGCTGAGGTAGATCTCCCTCATTCCACATTTCCAATGAGGTAGATCTCCCTCATTCCACACCTCCAATGAGGTAGATCTCTCTCATTCCACATCTCCAATGAGGTAGATCTCCCTCATTCCACATTTCTAATGAGGTAGATCTCCCTCATTCCACATTTCCAATGAGGTAGCTCTCCCTCATTCCACAGCTCCAATGAGGTAGATCGCTCTCATTCCACATCTCAAATGAGGTAGATCTCACTCATTCCACATTTCTAATGAGGGAGATCTACCACATTATAAGTTTGTGGAATGAGGGAGTTCTACCTCATTGGAAGTGTTAAATGATGGATATCTACCTCATTTGAAATGTGGAATGAGTGAGATCTACCTCATTTGAGATGTGGAATGAGAGCGATCTACCTCATTGGCGGTGTGGAATGAGGGAGAGCTACCTCATTGGAAATGTGGACTGAGGGAGATCTACCACATTATAAGTTTGTGGAATGAGGGAGCTCTACCTCATTAGAAATGGGGAATGAGGGAGATCTCCCTCATTCCACATCTCCAATGAGGTAGATTCTCCTCATTCCACATCGCCAATGAGATAGATCTCCCTCATTCCACATTTCCAATGAGGGAGATCTCCCTCATTCGACACCACCAATGAGGTAGATCTCCCTCATTCAACACCTCCAATGAGGTAGATCTCCCTCATTCCACATCCCCAATGAGGTAGATTCTCCTCATTCCACATCGCCAATGAGATAGATCTCCCTCATTCCACCTTTCCAATGAGGTAGAACTCCCTCATTCCACATTTCCAATGAGGTAGATCTCTCTCATTCCACATCTCCAATGAGGTAGATCTCCCTCATTCCACATCGCCAATGAGATAGATCTCCCTCATTCCACCTTTCCAATGAGGTAGAACTCCCTCATTCCACATTTCCAATGAGGTAGAGCTCCCTCATTCCAGACCACCAATGAGGGAGATCTCCCTCATTCCACATTTCCAATGAGGGAGATCTCCCTCATTCGACACCACCAATGAGGTAGATCTCCCTCATTCAACACCTCCAATGAGGTAGATCTCCCTCATTCCACAGCTCCAATGAGGTAGATTCTCCTCATTCCACATCGCCAATGAGATAGATCTCCCTCATTCCACACCTCCAATGAGGTAGATCTCCCTCATCCCACACCTCCAATGAGGTAGATCTCCCTCATTCCACAGCTCCAATGAGGTAGATTCTCCTCATTCCACATCGCCAATGAGATAGATCTCCCTCATTCCACATTTCCAATGAGGGAGATCTCCCTCATTCGACACCACCAATGAGGTAGATCTCCCTCATTCCGCACCTCCAATGAGGTAGATCTCCCTCATTCCACAAACTTACAATGAGGTAGATCTCCCTTATTCCACACCTCCAATGAGGTAGCTCTCCCTCATTCCACATCTCCAATGAGGTAGTTCTCCCTCATTCCACATCTCCAATGAGGTAGATTCTCCTCATTCCACATCGCCAATGAGATAGATCTCCCTCATTCCACCTTTCCAATGAGGTAGATCTCCCTCATTCCACACCTCGAATGAGGTAGATCTCCCTCATTCCACATTTCCAATGAAGTAGATCTCCCTCATTCCACACCTCCAATGAGGTAGATCTCCCTCATTCCACACCACCAATGAGGGAGAAAGTGCATGAACTGCGACTGAAACTGCTTTTCTCAATGTATCTTTCCATTTTTTAAGCATCAAAATAACTCCAAAAAGCATAATATCTTGAGATATTAACTGATAATACCAACACTGTTAAAATCCAAGATGATTGCATGGAGGACATTTGTTAAATCTGATTAATTTCAAAAAACCTCAAAGGTATATTCAACAAAAAAATTGTTGTAAAATTTGGCCAATTTTTGTAAAAATTTGAATTACAAAAATATAAAGATAAGTTACACAAATAGATTATGTTTTCAATGAGTCCCCGCCCAGGGGTGGATATGTGAATACAGATCTATATAATGCCAAATATCTGCTGACAACTACAGAGATTTGGATATGACTTGACTCAAAACACCAGTATTGGTATAAGGCAGTTATTACTCCCATGTGTATAGCTGATGACACTTCAGACTATTCATCCTCAACCAGAATTAATATAATTCTCTG